AGGCTTTATATATGTCTTCCCATTGCCTTCTTGCCTGCATGGTTTCTGCTGAGTAGCCTGAGCCTAGTCTTATTGATTTTCCTTTGTAGATGACTTTTCGTTTATCCCTAGCCACTCTTAAAATTCTCTCTTTATCTTTGGTTTTGGCAAGTTTGATTATAATATGTCTTGGTGACTTTCTTTTGGGATCTGCCTTTTGTGGTGTTTGATGAACGTCTTGGATAGATATCTTCTCATCTTTCATGATATTGGGGAAGTTTTCTGCCAACAAATCTTCAACAATTCTCTCTGTATTTTCTGTTATCCCACCCTGTTCTGGCACTCCAGTCACTCATAGGTTATTCCTCTTGATAGAGTCCCACATAATTCTTAGAGTTTCTTCATTTTTTAAAATTCTTTTATCTGATTTTTCCTCAAATAAGTTGATGTCAAGTGCTTTATCTTCAGTCTCACTAATTCTGACTTCCATTGCTTCAGTTCTGCTCCTGTGACTTTCTATTGAGTTGTCTAATTCTGAAATTTTATTGTTAATTTTCTGGATATCTGATTGGTGTCTCTCTATGGATTCTTGCAGGCTGTTAAATTTGTCATTATGTTCCTCTCTAATCTTCTTAAGTTCCTCTGTTGCTTTGTCGGTGTGTTCCTTGGCTTGTTCTGTGTTTTGTCTCATCTGCTTCCTGATCTCTGAAAGATTTCTGTGTTATTAATCTTTTGTATTCTACCGCCAGTAATTCCACAGAGTTCTCTTCCTCCAGAAGATTTCTTGATTCTTTGTTTTTGGAGCTTGCTGAAGCCATCATGGTCTGCCTCTTTATGTGATTTGATATTGACTTGTCTCTGAGCCATGAATAAGTTATTATATTTATTTATTTTATGTTTTGCTTGCTGTGTCCTAGCTTCTTGTTTTGTTTTGTTTTGTTTTGATATGCCCAAATAGGCTGTTCATGTGAGCTAGTTTGATTATTGGTGCCTTTGAAGCTCTCACGTCCTGTCACCAGGTGGTTAGATCTGTTACTAGGTATGTGAGCCCAGGAATCTGTTTACTTTTCTTGTATGGATTCAGCTCAGGTGTTCAGGTAGTCGTTCACCAAGTGTGAGGTACGGGCTCTTACCTACAGTCCTAGATGGGCAAGTGTGATTGGTGTAGGCACAGGTACCTGGCTGCAGTAGGGGTCACACGCTGAGCAAGGCAGGGGGCTGACAGCTGCCTGAGTGTCTGGGAGTAAAGCGTGTCCCTGTTCCCTGGAGCACGTAGTTGGGTAGGTTTTGCAGCCAGACTACGAGTAAACAATGCTGTTGAGTGTAAGGACTGGGAGGCACCACTTATTCTTGGACCCCATCACAGGTGGCTAGGTGGAGTGGGTGGAGCTACCAGTCCTCAGCCCCCTGATGTGGGTAGGTGAGGACCCTACTTAATGGGCAGAGCGGTGTCAAATGTCACAAATCTGCCTCTCTGCCATATAGCTGATACAGTCGAAGTTAGGCTTCAGGTATATACCCTGTTGTACTGTGCTAACGAGGGCCTGCGCTGTTAAAATGGGTTCACACAGGTCTATGTAGGGGTGAAAGGCATTCAAAATCTGTGGACCCCTTATGCCTGTGCCTAGGCAAAGGAGCTGTGCCTGCCGTGAGTTCCCAGTTTAGGGGAGCTCGCAGATTATTTTTTCCTGTTTGTTAATTTGTTCCCTCTCCAAGGCCAGGAGAATGGCTCAGAGCGCGTGACGGGTCCTACTTCTGGCCCGGGGAACGCGTCAATCACTGAAGCCTACCCGGGACCTGGTGCAGAGCAAGGAGGGGGCAGGTAAATGGGAGAGAGATTTTTTCCAAAGGGGATGTTTTTAATCTGCACGGTAGGTGAGACGCATGTATTTATCTTTTGCCAACTGAGTGCCACTTTTCACTGGTTCTGGAGGCCCAAGTAGACTCTCTGCTGCTCTGTCTCTTCTGATGTGGAAAAAGCCTCCCGAGCGCCACTGCTTGCCTCACTACACACGCCAGCCGATCTGGCCTGAAGGGTGCCAGCTCCTGCTGGGTCAGGTCTGGCACCTCCTCACTGCTAGAGAACTGTCTCTCCTTCCCCCTGCCGCTCAGTCCGATTTCTCAAGTTTGCCTTTGATGTTCAGGGCTCCTAGATTGTCGTATATAATCGATTCACTTGTTTTCTTGGGTCTTTGTTGTAAGAGGGACCACAGGAAGTGTCTGACTACTCTGCCATCTTGGCCCTGCCTCCGAGAATAAATTTTGAAGAGAAGTTCTGAGTTATTTCACTACTTGTTTTTGAAAGTGCCCCAATTTTCATAATAATAAATTGGTCAATCTGGATTTCCCTTTGTTGCTTGTTTGTGGATGTATTATTTTGACGACTGTAACAGAAGTTTTTGTGGACTCATAACTATGAGAAAGCTTGTCTCCTTTAAAAAATCGAAACAAAACCACCGATACTGGCTTTGTTTCATGAACGTTTGGGTGGTGACATTTTAGGCGGTCTTATGCAAGTAACACAGATTGAACTTCTCTGTGTATTTTCCAACCCTTTTAAAAACGCTGCCTTCCTTGTCTCTCTACCTTCTGCAGTATGATCTGAGATCGTGAACATGGACTTTTCTCGGCTCCACATGTACACCCCTCCTCAATGTGTGCCAGAGAACACTGGCTACACGTATGCACTCAGGTGAGTGTGTGTGCACCAGAGAGCACTGGCTACGCGTATGCAGGTGAGTGTGTGCAAGTGTGTGTGTGCCAGAGAACACTGGCTACACGTATGCACTCAGGTGTGTGTGTGCGAGTATGTGTGCGTGCCGGAGAGCACTGGCTGCACTTAAAAAATGTATGCACTCAGGTGCGTGTGTGCGAGTGTGTGTGTGCCGGAGAATACTGGCTACACGTATGCACTCAGGTGTGTGTGTGTGAGTATGTGTGCGTGCCAGAGTGCACTGGCTACACGTAAAAAACATATGCACTCAGGTGAGTGTGTGCGAGTGTGTGTGTGCCAGAGAGCACTGGCTACACGTATGTAGTCAGGTCTGAGTGTGTGCAAGTGTGTGTACCCACCTGCGGGACTGGTGGGTGGGCAGCTTGCACAGCTCAGTCTCATGTTCTCACAGTGAAGAGAGCTGTGAGCTGTGTACCACATCATGGCTTCACCAAGCTAGACTACTAACCTGATTTGGGCATTGTGAGTTATTTTGAAAACTGTACATATCTGAACTAGCTTATCCTGGTGACTCAGTGATTAGTCATTGCACATGAATTGCTGTTTTAGACCCCACCCAAGGTGGCTGTGATCTCGAGAACAAATCTTTGTGGTTATGGTTAGTGTTTTGTGATTTATATCAAAGGCTTGGCTTCTTCAAGTTAACAGAAATAATCTAGGCAGTGATTTGCCTTTTGAGAAGGAGGCATCATAACATGGGATTTTGAGGAAGCCCACAATTTCCAGAGCATGGCTTGTATCAGGTGCCAGGTTGTATTTTTATTCATATTCTGGTATACTGAAGCTTGGCATTTGCGTTTCAGAAGTTACTGGCTAACCTCCTACATTTTTAGCTTACCAGATAGGAAGGATGATTGAATGAAACTTAAGTATTATAAAATTATGGGTTAGTGCCAAAAGACAATCTGTTGCTAGGTCAGTTAGGATTTGGTTGGCAATTGGAAACATCCTGTGCCTGGCAAGCTGTTTAAGGCACCCGATGGGAGCTGTGTATTTTCTTCTATGGCCTGTTCTCTACGAGGCAAAAGTGTAGTTGAGCCTTAAAAAAAACTGGAAGGTATTTTAAGAAAAATGTTTTTTAACAGCATTAGTTGAATCTAACATTTGATGATTGAGTTTTCATTCTTAATTCTAGATAATGCCACACTTTCTGTAGGAACACACTCCGTTTTTGTTAAGTGTACAGTTGTGGCTTAGTGTACAGTGAGTGGGCCACCTCAAGAAAAGCTGTTCCTGTTCTGTATTATGAGCATAGAAGCCATTATTCTTGGTAACTTCTTTATAGCTTTTATAGCCCATTTTGAATACAGTTTAGGAAATGCATACGCCTGGGGTCTCCACTGGGAAGAGCTCTGTTAATGTCAGTGACAGTCACAGCCCTTCTTCAGGGAGACGAGGGTGAGTCTGGGGGCAGAGGGCTGGGGAGGTGTCCCGAGAGGTGAGGTAGAGGAGACAGTGCCAAGGAGATGTGGCTTTGTAAGTTCTGCTGGGAGTTTGGGCCTTTAAAGGCAGTGGGAAGCCACCCAACCTCAACAGTTACCAACACATGGTGTCCCGCCCCCCCTTATTTTGGAGCAAACCTGAGATGTATCGTTTCATCAGTAAGTACTTGGGTATCTATCTCTAAAAGTTAATGATATTTAAAAATAATAACTACCCAGTATACCAGTATCACACATTTAACAAAAAGGTAATTCACAATGACTCCTTAATAAATTAGATATTTAATTAATATTCTGATTTCCCATATCCTCATTTATTTATTTTTTTCCAGTCAATTATTTTGAATCCACTCAAACAGGGTCCTCACATTACGTTTTGGTAGTTTGTCTCTTAAGTCTTGATCTGTATTTCTTAAAACTGGTAGTTATTTAGAAGTTTGATCAGTTTCAGGTTTTTTTATATATATAATATAATAATATATATATAATATAATAATATATATTATATAAATATATAGTATTACATTATATGAGGTGGTACCTGATATCTGGCTGCCTTTCTCCTTTTGTAGTGTTGAGGTTCGCCAGTGTTGTCAGCCTGACCCATTTATTGTAAAGTCCCTGTCTGCTTGTTGCCGAGTAGATACAGCTGTTCATGATTGTTGCCTTCATCTCTCTAATCAGGGAGGAGAGCTGTTCCTAGGAGCCCTGTAGTAGGCCTCCCCTTAGGCCCCATGAGACCCTGGGCTGTGTTGCTGCCGGTGCTCTAGATTGAGAAGAATAGTATCAGTCTTTCAGCCTCTGGTGGGAGGTGAAGTGTCCCACAGGAAGGAAAGGTGGAGAAATGGCATTGGGTCAGTGCACACCAGCATCTGCATAGAAGCCAAGAAGAGAGTGTTTGGGGAAGAGGGGATGATCGCAGGGCCAAAGGCTGCTGGCAGGTTGAGCAAGATGGCACAGGGGCTTTGCCACTGTTAACCCTGTGGACACCTGTGGCTCCTCTAACGTGAACAGTTTAGGGGCAGTGATGGGGCAGAAGTGGGACTGGAGTGGGTGTGAGGTGAGGGTGGAGACAGTGAGGTTAGACAGCTTTGGCTGATAAGGGAAGGGGAAAGGGCTTAGCTTTGAGTGAAGCTGCTCATTTTTTGATTCTTTACCATGCAGAGAGGTGTCAGCTCTTTGCTGACAGCAAGGAGCATGTAGGAGAGAGAAGAGGCAGAGGCAGAGTCGGGTCTCTGGAAAGTGGGAGACGCGATCCAGAGCAGGAGGACCAGTGTTAGGATTCCTCCTGCAGTGTGGCAGTGTAAGGGTAAGGGGCAGAGGGAGGTGTGGGTCAGCTGCAGATTCACTTAGTTCTCTGATGGCCCCGTTAGACTGAAGAGCAGGAGGTTTCCTTTGGATGATTTTTGTCTGGAAGACGACTTCCCATAATTTGTTGCTGCCTTCTATTTTTCTGATGTTCAATTATGATAGATTTTTTTCAGTCTTTTTTTAAAAAGAACAAATTTAAACAAATAAGGGAAAGTAAAATCACATGCTCTTAAGGGTTAGAGCTATAATATATCTTTAGAGTCTTTGTCTACATCATCCTTTTTTATATCCTAATTATGTCACTAAATTCTTTTTAATCCTGGATTGGACCCTCTTCCCCCGAACATTTTATAGAAAAGTGATGAAGTGCTTTGATACCACAACCTGATGGATGGGCATGTCACCCCTGGCACAGTGCACACAGGATCCTTCTTCACAGGCCCAGCAGATGGGACTCTTTCTCCTGGGACTCTGGGTGCATTTATCAGTGGGAATGATGCTGGGATGACAGTTGTGTTCCAGCCCAGGGCCCTGCCCAAGCTGTGGGACTTCTGGAATCCTAGGTGTGGGGTTGGAAGAGACCTTGGAGGTCATCCACTCCGCCAGATAAGCAGCTGAGACCTGGTTAGAGTGACTCCCCTAAGCCTTGCACGACCTCGGGGGGGACTGGGAGTAGATATTCGGGTCTTAGACTCAGAGTCCCAAGTCCCTTCCTCTCTTCTTCCTCTCATCCACCTTCCCCTCTACTTTAAACACTAGTACGTTACCATGATAGAAAAGTCCAGTACTATCCAGCTAAAAGTAAAAGTCCCCTTGGCCCCAGCTTCTTTCAGTTCTAGAGGTCACCGTTGTTATCAGTTCACAGAGAACCTTCCAGATCTTTTGTATACTTTTACATATCTATGTAGGTATAAGAATATGTGATTTTATTTTTTAGTTTGTTTTAACATAAATAGGATGATACTAGAGGGTTTTTTTAAATTTTTTGTTTGTTTTCTCTTTTTTTTTTTCATTTAGCAGCGTATCTTAGAGGTCTTTCCATGACAATATATATTGTTCTTTTTTTTATGTTTTTAATGGCTTCTCAGCATTATATGATATGGATGTATCCTGGTTTATTTAACCATTCTCCTATTGGTGGACACTTCCCAATCTTTTGCCACTATAAGCAGTACTGCAGCAACATTTTTGAATATGGCTGTCTTCCCAGGGAGGGCTCTTTCTAACTGAACTAGCAAGTACTTGGAGCACCATTCTTTTTTTTTTAATTGTAGTTCAGATGAAGGTTTACAGAACAAATAGTTCCTCATTAAACAGTTAGTACACATACTGTTTTATGGCATTGTTTAACAACCCCACGACATGTTGACACTCTCCCTTCTCCACCTTGGGTTCCCTATTACCAGTTTTTCTGTCCCCTCCTGCCTTCTAGTCTTTGTCCCTGGACTGTTGTGCCCTGTTAGTCTCGTTTTGTTTTATGGGGCTGTCTAATCTTTGGCTGAACGGTGAACCTTGGAAGTGACTTCATTACTGAGCTAAAAGGGTGTGTGTGGGCCATACTCTTGGGATTTCTCCAGTCTCTGTCAGGCCAGTAAGTCTGGTGTTTTTTTGTGAATTAGAAATTTGTTCTACATTTTTCTCCAGCTCTGTCTGGGACCCTCTGTTGTGATCCCTGTCCGAGCAGTGGTGGTAGCTGGGCACCATCTAGTTGTACTGGACTCAGTCTGGTGGAGGCTGTGGTAGTCATGGTCCATTAGTCCTGTGAACTAATCTTTCCCTTGTATCTTGTTTTCTTCATTCTCCCTTGCTCCCGAAGGGGTGAGACCAGTGGAGTATCTTAGATGGTTGCTCACAGGCTTTTAAGACGCCAGATGCTACTCACCAAGGTAGAATGTAGAAC